AGATCCTCTGGTTCCCACCTCCACCTTCTGAGAGATGAAGTTGTCCGCAAGACTATTCAAGAATCTGCGGGATGCCCCATGTCTAGCAGAGTTAGATTTCCAGCAAATATCTGGATAGTTGAAATCTCCCATAACCACTACATCCTGTCTCTGTGAAAGTTTAGCAAGCTGTTGTACAAATGCACCATCTAGTTCCTCTGGTTGGTTCGGAGGTCTGTAGTATACCCCCCCAACAATTTCCCCTTCTTCCCCCCCACCCGCTCTCTCCTTAACCACACAATTTCAAAAGGGCAACTCTCAAAATCCTGAATTTCAGTGCAAGCATATTCATTCTTGACATATAGTGCCACCCCGCCTCCTTTTTTGTTTTTTCTGTTCCATTTAAACAAGGTATATCCTTCAGTCGCTGTGCTCCATATATGAGACTCATCCTACCAAGTCTCAGTGATTCCTATTGGATCATACTTACTTTCCACTATTTGAAGTTCAAGTTCCTCCTGTTTATTTCTCATACTCTGTGCATTAGTATAAAGACATCGCAGATTACAGACATCCTTTCCTACCGTAGGTCCCTTCGATTTTACATGAAAATTACTGAAGTCACCTCTCTCCCGTTCATTTATTCTCTGATCACTCCCCTTCTTTTTGCCAAATATTTTTTATTATTTTCCAAACAAAAAGAAAGAAAAGTGGATATACCAACTGTCATAAATTTCATCCAGCAATTCATCAAAGGATTATACAGCCATATTCACTTACACCTGAATATCATTTTATCAACCTTTAACAAGTATTTTTATAACTTGTACCTTTTATTGTAGCATATTTTTGGGGGGCAACCCAAAAATATATTTCCCTGTCTACTCTAACTTAGAATTGTTCCCTCATAAGTGTTCTTGGCCTAATAAATTCCCATTTAAAGTTGTTATCTCTATGTAAAGTTTTACCATATTTTAAGATGTAGAGTGCTCATTAAACCTTTCGTTAAACAACTTTCCTTAGAGGAGGCTTATTTTCTTATCTATTTTTTGTTATGAAATAATTTCTTTTTGCATTTTACTAACCATATTCAGTCAAATTAAATCAGCGATCTCATGTCTAAAGCCACCTACCTGTCTTCTGATTTCTAGTATAAATTAAACATTATATTAATACTGTTTCCTATTTTTTTTAAGTAGTATCTTTTTACAACCATTTTTTAAAATTATATTTATTGGGTTTTATAAGCATATATCATACACATATACAAGTTCAACAATAAATTTACATACATATCTCAGCCTTGTACCATACTTCTAAACAACATAACCAGTTCTCATCAGTTTCTCTTGGCTTGTTCTCTTTTTTACTGTTTCTCCCGCTTTTTTACCAAAATGTTTTCAAGAGGTCCTCTTTCTCAGTCCAGTCTTTAAATAATAGGGTTTTATAGTCTCCTCATAATTACTCTTTTGCTCCTTACTGTTTTCCGTATTTATTGTCAATAAAGGTTGTGTATCAGAAACCGTATTCTCTCGGTTACAATCCTGCTCCTCTGTAACATCCTGCCTGCTTTGCTCCAACTCTCCATCTTTTCCCAGATTTAAATACACCTTCTGCTTCTTTTTTGTATAGTTCCCAAAGGCTTTCTCAATCCCCTTTTGTATCCCTTCCATGAGTAGTCTCCGAAATTGCTCTATGGATAACTCTCCAATTTCTGTATCTTCGTTAATCTCCTCCCTCCTCCTCCTCTTCAGTGCCCTTTCGGAACGCCATCTCTCTCTCTCTTTTTATTACGCCTTCTCTTTCCACCTCATTCCATTATATAGCACTGACCAACTCACGCTGAAGATTTGCTCATTTTTAACAACTATAAGTCTTTTGCCACCGAATGAGTTTTACCCCTAAGGAAAAACAATGGAACACATGCTCGATTATTCCTCATAATCACTTTCTGGCCATTCTTCACCTCCATTTTGGAAACATACAGCCTAGGGTATTTTTTCACGAAAGTCTTTTTTTCCAGTTTGCAAATAAAAGTACAAGTACTCACTTGAACTTCCCTTCTTTTCCTTTTCTGAGTTGCTGTGTACTAAGTTTATATCCAAAGTGGTTAAAAGCGGATGGCTGCGGCTAGGTAGAGCATGGTTCCCATGTCCTACTCCGCTGAACTCTGCTACTCCACTTCGGGGCAATCACGGACATTCTCCCGCATTCGCCAGTTGCAAAAGGGGCCAAAACCAAGCCCCCTGTGACCAAACCTCTCTCCAGGAGGTCCAGCGGAGTCCTCCCAGCAACCGGGAGGCTCCCAAAGAAGCGAAAAGGGAATCAGACTGCTCAGAGCGACCCAAACCCGCCTGTTGCCGCACCGCACCGGAAACCGGAAGTCCCTGGTCACTTCCCTTCTTGAACTTAGTGTTGGGGATGCCGCACAACATCAGGCTTTTTCTTCCCACCCCCGATGTCTTCAATTTAAAGCCCTCCTGATCAGATTCGCAAGTCTTCCAGCAAAGACATTCCGCCCATTCTTTGTAAGGTGCACCCCATCCGTCGCCAGCAGTCCTTCATGTCGGAGGTACGTACCATGGTCCAGGAAGCCAAATCCCTCTTGACGGCACCATCTATGTAACCAGCCATTCACCTCCAGTATCCTGTTCTCCCTTCCAGCTCCATGGCCCTCAACAGGTAAAACGGAGAACACCACCTGTGCCCCCAGATCTTTCACCTTCTTGCCCAGAGCCTCGTAGTCTTTGGAGATCCATTCAAGGTTTCTTCGGGCCGTATCGTTTGTTCCCACATGGATCAGCAGGAGCGGGTAGCAATGGAGCAGCATTTCCTCTCGCACTGCTCATGATCCAAGCCAAAATTCCAGGAACTCACATCACCCATGGAGCTGAGCGAGTCATGGGATTTGCTTTCATACCATGTTTGGGTTGGTCTGAGTGAGGTGAGGCATGTCCGAGAAGAAATCTTTGTGTGTAGGGCTCTGGGCAACACTGGAAGGAACTGAAGGTAGTTCCATTAATAGGGAACCTCAGAGCCCATTGCCCAACCTAGGATGCAGGAGACTAAAAGCCCCAACACATGAGATTTTAGAAGTATTACAAGGAAGTGTTTTACATTTTAATGTGTGTGTACTGGGGGGAGAAGAGCACTGAGACATTCTAGTCTTGTTACCACTCCAAACGAGATATGTCACATTGCATTTCTGCTCATCTGTTTCAGGTCTAAGATGGGGCTTTACAAGCTGTGCTACAGTATCTGTTAATCACATTTTACCCCCTTTCAAGGAGCTCATAGCAAGGTCCAAAGGGTTCCCTCTCCCTATTTTATCCTTACAACCACCCTGTGAGGTAGATTAGGTTAAGAGAGAGAATGATACAGCAGATGTTACTCATCGAGTCTCATGGCTGAGGACCAGACCAGACATGCACGAGGAGTTCTGTGTCCAGAACTTCTGTTGGTTTTTTAAAACTTCACTTTCAGGACCCAGAGACCTCATTCAAATTAGGACCAAGACATGTGGGGGAAAAGGAGTTTAAGCCTCTACACCCATGTATCTTTCCTGAGCTGAAACCAGCCTGGGCAGCTGCTATAAACAGGGCATGTATCAACTGCTTGGGGTTGTTTCAGAGAGGGAAAACAATATCCTTTCTGTGCATGCCATAGCACCAGTCTGAATTTGGCCGCCTTGTACCTGAAAAGGGAAGCTTTTTAAAAAAACAACAACTGCTGGGCACTCTGAATCAGATCTTCCAAGCAAGAGCCTGGTTTGGTGCCAGGTGGGGATTTGAACCCAAGGTCTGTTTGAAACCCAGCCTTGTAGCCTTTACACAGCACAGTAAACCATCCAAATACTGTCCCTTAGATCGATGGTTTTTAAACTGAGGAATCCTAGTCATCCTTGGGGATTTATCAAGACTGTGTGCATCCAAAGTAAAGAATTGGGGGAAATGCTGTGTTAAACTGAAATGAAGCTGTTCTGGTTGTGGTGCTTTGTTCTTTTCTAGAGGCAAGTGGATTAGGGCCAGTCCAAAGACCACTGTAGCTGACAGTAGTAGCTCCTGTGGTTTCAGCAGGATCTCTTCACTCCCAAATCAATTCAATCATTTAAAGTAGGACTGCTGTGTATGTGTGTATCATCTAAAATGGCTCCCCCCTTAATGTTGCCGTTGCAGGCATCCTCTTGTGCCAATGGCTCCCAAGAAGAAAACCCCAAAGAAGAGCAAGGCAGTGAAGAAAGAGTCTCTTATTAACCCCACAATGGTAGAGGATCCTTCCTTTGATATTGACCACCAGCAGCAGGTGAAGGGGTTGTTTGAAAACGGTTCTGATGGGTTTCTGTGTACCGCTGTCGAAGTCATAGATCCAAGCCATGGAAACAGTATCCTGCAGGTGATGAGTCACATGCACCAAGAGCACTTACTCTGCGACCTCACGATCACCACCAAAGCTAAGTCCTTCAGCGTTCACAAGCTGGTGATGTCCTCTTGTAGCGATTATTTCAGAAGTCTGCTGACAACAGATCTCCAGCTTCAACAAGTGGACCTCAAAGATGTCTCTTCCTTGGGCCTGGCCACTGCCATAGGCTATGCCTACACAGGGAAGCTGAGTCTTTCCCTGTACACCATTGGCAGCACCATTTCCACAGCCAGCCACCTGCAGATGTACACTCTGCTCAACATATGCACCGACTTCCTCATTCAGGAAATGAATGTGGAGAACTGGGTGTATATAGTCAACATGGCGGATACATACAATCTCAACCAGGTAAAGGAGGCTGCAAAAAAGTTCATCACAGAACACTTCCTGGAATTCTCTGATACAGAACAATTTATGAAACTCACTTTTGATCAACTCGACAAACTTTTGATGGATGACAGCCTTCAAATCCCTGATGAAGTGGTGGCCTTCCAAATTGCTATGAAGTGGCTTGAATTTGATTCCAAGCGGTTCAAACACGCCGCTGATCTCCTGAACAACATCCGGTTTGGCACCATCCCAGCTCAGGACTTGATCAACTACATCCAACCTGTGCCATGTATGATGCAGAACCCAGAATGTCATAAGCTGCTGGTAGATGCTATGAATTACCACTTGCTGCCATATCAGCAAAATGGCCTTCAATCCAGAAGGACCAAGATTCGAGGAGGCTACAAAGTGCTGGTCACAGTCGGTGGCCGTCCATGCTCAACTGAGAAAGCCCTTAGCAAAGACATCAACTACAGAGATGAAGAGGGAAACTGGAATAAGCTAACAGAGATGCCAAACAAATGCTTTAACCAGTGTGTCGTAGTGATGGATGGATTTCTGTATGTGGCAGGGGGAGAAGATCAGAATGATGCCCGAAACCAGGCAAAACACGCACTTAACAATGTGTGCAGGTAACAAAAATACCAAATAAGGAGTAAAGAGAGAAGTGTATGGGAAAGGTATTACATATATAAACATATGTTTATACTGAGTGAAGGGACTGGCCCATTTAACTCAGTATTGTCTAGTCTGATTGGCTGTAAATCTCCAGAGTGTTAACTGAGTGGTCTTTTTTCTCCTAGATGCTGTATTAACTGAGCTATGGCCTCTGCCAAATTTGTTCCTTGGCCATAACCACTTGAAAATATAATCTGGGAGATGTAAGCAGTTTGGTTGGAGCTAAAGAAGTTATATTTAGGATATATTGTGCAGTCAAAATGATTTTTGGTCCTAAAATTGGTTGGAATAAGATCATGCCTCAAAGGCAGAGTACTGAGGGTCCCAGGTACAGTCCCTAGTATCTCCAGTTATAAAAGGATCAGATCATAGATGACGTGAAAGACCACCACCCGAGACCCTGGAGAGCCAATACCTGTCAGAGTAGACAAGACTGACTTAATGATATGGCTCAGTATAAGGCAGGTCACGTTCATTTTTTAGAACATAGATCCTGCCTATCTTTCTGCACAAAAACTAAGCCCAGTCACAAAAATAAACATTCTTAAGGGTGGTGGGAAGAAAAGATGTCAAGACATTCTCTCTCTGCATCAGTGTGCAGAAGGGCTATCCATGGTCCGGTGCTTTATTCATGGACTGAAATGTTGGATATCGATCTTCTTTTCCCTGCAGGTATGACCCGCGTTTCAAAACTTGGCTGCACCTAGCTAGCATGTCACATAAGAGAACTCACTTCAGCCTCAGCGCTTTCAATGGGCACCTGTATGCTGTTGGGGGCCGCAATGCCAAGGGGGCTCTGGTCTCCATCGAGTGCTACGTCCCTTCCACCAATAGTTGGCATGCCAAAGCCGACATGGAGTTGTCACGCTGCTGCCACGCCAGCGTGGTGATTGGCAGCAAGATCTTGACCACCGGCGGCTATGTGAACAATGCCTACTCTCGCACAGTTTGCAACTACGACCCCGCGGCAGACGCTTGGCAAGATTGCGCTTGGCTAAGTAGCCCAAGGGGGTGGCACTGCGCTGCCACCTTAGGAGACCGTGCCTACGTCCTGGGAGGAAGCCAGCTGGGCCCCCGAGGGGAGAGGGTGGACGTGATCCCCATGGAATGCTACAACCCTCTGACGAACCAATGGAGCTGCATGGCCCCCCTGCCCATAGGTCTGAGCATGGCTGGGGTGGCTACTCTTGGCGGGCAAATCTTGCTAGCAGGTGGTTGGAATGAAAGTGGAAAGAAGTATCAGAAAAGCATCCTGGCCTACAACCCTGACCTGAATGAATGGACAGAGGAAGGGGAGCTCTCGGAAGGCACTGTGGGGGTTTCGTGTTGTACTATTGCCCTCCCCCAGCCAAGCACCCGGGGGTCCAGGGCCAGCTCAGTGGCCTCTGCAACGGTCAGCATTTAAGGATAGGAGGGCGGGGGTGGGATAAAGAATGCACAGTTCATAACTGGCCTAGTCAGGGAGTAACCTAAAAATGCCAAAAGGATTCTGCAGTTTTCATGTACCTGTTTTGCCAACGTCCAAAACTCCCACAATCAGCTTCACCTCCCAGAACAGAGTCACAAATCTTACCACATCTGTTTCTGCCTCCCAGAAACCACTAACCATTGAACAAAGGCTGAGCTACTTGATAATTTCTGGCCCTTCCAGTGAAAAACTGAGAATAGCCCTCAATGTAGAAAATCTGCCTACCCCCTTCCTTTCAAAAGATGTTCTTGCCCTCCGGGGTCTACCTTGAATGAAACTACATCACTGGAGTGGAATCTTGGGGTCTTCCGTTCTAAATTAAAAACATGAAGTACACTCTGAAGCGTTGGTGTATTTTCTACACAGACCCACTGAGTTCAGAAATGAGACAGTGAGCAGGTTCTGCAGAGCGACAATGCTCTGAAAGACAGAAATCTATTCCAAGATAGCCTTTATTTAGGATCCCTGGACTCTGTTTACAATTTTTAAATGTACAAGAGTATAAGCCCATTTATTCCCTCCAGGACTGAATGAGACAGTGAGCAGGTTCTGCAGAGTGACATTGCTCTGAAAGACAGAAATCCATTCCAAGATAGCCTTTATTTAGGATCCCATGGACTCTGTTTACAGTTTTTAAATGTACAAGAGCATAAGCCCATTTATTCCCTCCAGGACTGAGTTTAAGTTACAGAACAGCCCACATTTCTCTAGCCCTTACTGACATGGGAGATACTGGTAACAATAGCCAGTTCAATAATTGGATTGAAACACATTATTTTCTCTGCAATAGGTTAAAGTATACAGAACAGGAAAAGAAGATCTCGCATGCCTCTGGGCTAGGGGGAAATGCAGCTGATTGAAGCTCAAGATGCTCTTCCATTTTAATTCCTGCTTCAGGGGAAAGTGATCAGGCTTGCTAAAACAGGGGAACTGTTTATTGAGAGCATACCCTCCAGCAGAATGGTTATTATAGATCACATAGCATTTGGGAGGGTGGAGATAATGGAGAATAATTTTCAAAATTTAAGAACAGGCCCTGACCTGGATAGCCCAGGAAAGCCCGATCTCATCAGATCTCAGAAGCTAAGCAGGGTCGACCCTGGCAAGTATTTGGATGGGAGACCTCCAAAGAATACCAGGGTTGGGAGGCAGAGGCAGGCTATCAAGCCACTTCCCTGAACATCCTCCATGCCCCAGTAGGAGTCAGTCAACAGAGGTCACCATGACTTCCAGGCATAAGCACACAAACACACAAAAATGCAAAAATACAAAAAAATAAAATAACACTAATGTATATGCATGCAGCTGCCTTCTACTGAGTCAGGCCATTGGTCTATCAAGATCATTACTGTCTACTCTGGTTGGCGGCTGCTCTCCAAGATCTTGGGTCAAGGCCATTTATGTCACCGGCTACTTGATAAAGTGGAGATGCTAGGGACTGAATTGGAGGCCTTCTGTATACAAAGCCGGTGCTCTACCACTGAGCCATGGCCCCAGAGCTGCAAGGGGCAAAAGGCTGAAGCAGAACAACCGTAAGGACAACCAGGAAGTGAATACTGTTATTCATATGGGAGGGACTATAAGGCCTGTTCAGACCCACAGACACTCTCTAACATATGGAGAGGAGTCCAGGGCTATTTTTGGGCAGGAACGCACAGGAACGGAGTTCCGGCTGGCTTCAGTTGGCCACGCCCACTACAACCCAAACCTCTGTGTGCGTGGCTACAGAGGGAAGGCCTGGAGAGCGACACCTCCGCCCAGCAACTCCAAGGCGGGCAGGCCAGGGGGGCCTGGAAGGATCGGGGAAGGCTTGCCTGGGCTCCCCACAGCCAAGGGAAGGCATGGGGTGTGGCCTATTATGCTAATGAGTTCCTGCTGGGCTTTTTCTACAAAAAAAGCCCTGGAGAGGACACAATTCTAGAAACATAATTTTTGCTGTACATATATTTCAATAGTGTGGAATTGGGCGGGGGAGTGAGAGAGCCAGCAGTGAGCTTGAAAGGAATCAGGTCTTAGAATACATGCAATCCAACACATTTTTGTGCAGAACACAAGGCAGAAGCTGCTAAGGCCCGCCGCAGATGGAAAAAGGCGGACTTGACAGTGGCTGCCACCTGGGCCTCCATCGTTAGAGTGGAGTCCAGGCCCACTCCCAAACTCCGAACCCCAGACGCTGGCACCAGAGGTACCCCATCGAAGGTCGGGAGCCCCAATCCTGTCCCAACCCGACTCAGGCCCAGGACCTCCGTCTTTGCCGGGTTTAGTTTCAATCGGCTCAGCCGGAGCCAGCCAGCCACAGCTTCAAGTGCCCGATGCAGGTCATCGGGACTCGAGCCCGACCGGCCACCCAACATCAGATAGAGCTGGGTGTCATAAGCATACTGATGACACCCCAGCCCATAACTTCGGATGATCTGGGCAAGGGGGCGCATATAGATGTTAAATAGCATCGAAGACAGCACTGCTCCCTGTGGTACCCCACACTCAAGGGGGTACCTACGAGAGTGCTGGTCTCCGAGAACCACCCTTTGTCCCTGACCTTGCAGGAAAGAGGCAAACCATTGAAGGGCAAGCCCCTGAATCCCCACGTCGGCGACTGGTGGTCGACGGTGTCAAACGGCGCCAACAGATCGAACAACACCAGTGCCGCCACGCCGCCTCGACCCAGATGTCTCCGGAGATCGTCAGTCAGGGCGACCAAAGCCGTCTTGGTCCTGTGACCCGGGCGGAAACCGGACTGGAAGGGATCTGAAGCATCCTCCAGAAAGCCCTGTAACTGTAACGCCACCGCCCTCTCTATAAGTTTGCCAATTCGGCCGGGTCTAAAGATTTAAGAACAGGCCCTGACCTGGATAGTCCAGGAAAGCCCGATCTCATCAGATCTCAGAAGCTAAGCAGGGTTTACCCTGGCAAGTATTTGGATGGGAGACCTCCAAAGAATACCAGGGTCGGGAGACAGAGCCAGGCTATCAAGCCACTTCCCTGAACATCCTCCATGCCCCAGTAGGAGTCAACAGAGGTCACCATGACTTCCAGGCATGGGCATACAAACACACAAAAATACAAAAAAATAAAATAAAAAAGAACTGAATGGCCATCCTAACTACATGAACACTAATGTATATGCATGCAGCTGCCGTCTACTGAGTCAGGCCATTGGTCTATCAAGATCCTTACTGTCTACTCTGGTTGGCAGCTGCTCTCCAAGATCTTGGGTCAAGGTCATTTATGTCACCGGCTACTTGATAAAGTGGAGATGCTAGGGACTGAATCGGAGGCCTTCTGTATACAAACCCGGTACTCTACCACTGAGCCATGGCCCCAGAGCTGCAAGGGGCAAAAGGCAGAAGCAGAACAACTGTAAGGACAACCAGGAAGTGAATACTGTTATTCTTATGGGAGGGAATATAAGGCCTGTTCAGACCCACAGCCACTCCCTAACATATGGAGAGGACACAATTCTAGAAACATAATTTTTGCTGTACATATATTTCAATATTGTGGAACTTAAGATACAGAAGAGATTGGGCGGGGGAGTGAGAGAGCCAGCAGTGAGCTTGAAAGGAATCAGGTCTTAGAATACATGCAATCCAACACATTTTTGTGCAGAACACAAGGCAGAAGCTGCTAAGCTTTGGGTACGTGTGCATCCCTGATGGGAAGGAATCAATAGATTCTGTTGAATTTTCACACACAGAAAGGCCAACCCGAAGATAACAGCAGTCACAACAAGCATTCACCTCAACAAGGATAGTTCTGTGAAAGATGGCAGCCACCATTTCCCTTGGTGCCAAGACTGCTGACATCAGTGCCCTTGAGCAGGGCTTTTTTTGTAGAAAAAGCCCAGCAGGAACTCATTAGCATATTAGGCCACACCCCCGTGTTACCAGAAGTGTGGTCATCCAGCCACACCCACCTTTTGCTTCTTATTCTGTTTACCTTGTTTGTTGTCAAAACCCAGGGCTTTTTTTGGAGCAGGAACTCCTTTGCATGTTAGGCCACACACCCCTAATGTAGCCAGTCCTAATGAGTTCTTGCCACTGGGTGTGGCCTGTTATGCTAATGAGTTCCTGCTGGGTGTGGCCAACTCGGGAGCCAGCCGGAACTCCGTTCCTGTGTGTTCCTGCCCCAAAATAGCCCTGCCCTGGAGTAATAATATACTCTAGGAGAGCTACTACCTGGCCTCAGAAAACAAAGGGAAATTGGTAGAATCAAACCAACACAAAGCAAATAAAAAACTGGCATTATGCTCAAGAATGATGGTTTCGATCCACAAGTGGCAATCTCATCCCATTTCCCTCAATGAGCCCTGACCCACATGGTTTTTTGCCCACAGAAGTTCCATGATGCTTAGCATAGCCTTTTGGGTGTTCAAAAGCAGGCATCTCCTTTCTTGAGCCAGCAGAAAATTCAGGCCTATCCTTGAGAGCAAAAATACTGGCTTATTGGGTACTTTTCCTGGGGCTTTTCAAACCAGGGAGAGATAAGGACTTCCAAGAGACAACTTCCCATTTTCCCAGCTGCTAAGCAAATTCAATTCCCAGGGACAAGCTTGGGAGCAATGGACCTCTTTTGTTTCAGGCATTGATCTCTGATGCAGAGAAAATATCTGGCGGGGTGGGGGTATGGCTCCTCCTTCAGCCATGAGTTAACAGCCATTTCTTGCAACTGAAGTAAGAGCATTACACAGACCTCTGCTAGCCTTGTAAAAAGTGACAGTCTGCTTCATCGCAGCAACTTACCAGCTGGAGGCCAGAACACATCACAAAATCAAGCATCATAGCAGTGTGTTCTATCATATCCCTTCCATCATCCTAAGACGTGCACTATTTAATGCTCAAGAAGTATGTTGCGAAGAGAGGACAAAGCCATTTACAAGCCAAGCTCAGTAATTACAGAGATTTCTGTATCCAAAGCGGCAGCTTTTGTAGTGTTAAGGAAGGCAACCCTACAGAGACAGATCACTATGGTGGTGATGGGGGGGAAGCCACTCCGTTTGATATTACCCATACATCTTAAACGTGCGTCTTAAACTTTGCCCCAATGAAGAGAGGTGTCCTGCCAGCATCTACTAATTTAAACCTCACCTTTTTGGCTCACAGCAGCTTACAAATTTGAATTTAGAAAAATAAACCCTAAAGCCCAAATGCCTGCACATTAAAAGCCCTAGCGAATAGAATGATCTTATACCAGCTCTGTTGAATTTCTGCTCTGCATTTTGATGTTTGGCTCTAATTGTAAAAGGTTGCAGATACTTGATCTACCTTACCCTTTAGGAGGAACATAAGACTCTCTGAAGCAAAGCAAGGGCAGCATATAAAACCTGTACTGGGAGAGAACTGAAGAAGTCATCCGTCTCAGCAAGGGCCAACATCTTAAGCCTGGAGAGTTGGACCCTCCCAGGCCAAGCCACCAAGAAGCTGGACCGTTAAAAGCCCTGCTAGTTGCCAGACTCCAACAACAGTGCCTTCTTCTGCCCAGTTTAAGTGAAGCATAGTGAAGTATATCCACTCTCAAAGTCCTTCTTTGAATTCCAGAGGAGGGACCCACATGATAAGAATCACAATTGTGTGTGGGCAGGCCTCGTATTACTGGCAAGCTGCCATTTTAGCCATCTTCATTCAATGAAGTACCAGGTTCTTCAACAATTAACTAAGTCCACTGGCTTTGTTCCTTAGGTAACAGATTCCTTTCTTCCAGTATTTGCAGGTAATTTTTTTTTTTACAATCAGTTAAAAAAAGGAGAAATAAGAACACAAATGACGTATAAAATATATTTCTCCAGCTAATGCCAATTTTTCAAAGATATATAATCTCTTGTTAGAGAGACAGCAATCAGGAGGAAAGAATTGTAAAGCCATGGACTTGGGGATTTGGAATCTGTAACTAAACCCAAGTAAAGTAAAGGTAAAGGTTTCCTTGCCCGAAAGCCAGTCGAATCCGACTCTAGGGTTGCGGTGCTCATCTCCGTTTCAAAGCCGAAGAGCCAGCGCTGTCCGAAGACGTTTCCGTGGTCATGTGGCCGGCATGACTAAACACCAAGGCGCACGGAACGCTGTTACCTCCCCACTGAAGTGGTATCTATTTATCGACTTGCAATTTCTTGCTTTCGAAGTGCTAGGTTGGCATAAAAGTGAATTTTGAAAAGCGGCATAAAAGTGAATATTGAAAAGTGGCATAAATTTTTCAGTAAATCTCACTATTCAAGAGAATATGATTAAAACGTTTTATCAATGGCACTTAAGTCCTCATAAATCAGCTAAAATTAATTAATTAACGGGTTAAATGTTGTTGGTCGGCCAGTCAGACTCTACACCGGAAGATCTAGACCGGGCACTGCAACCTGTGGCTGGATGGCTTAGACTGAGTTGACTGAAATTGAATCTGACGAAGACGGAGGTCCTGTGCCCAAGTCGAAATGGGCCGGGGGTAGAGATTCCACTCCCAACCTTCAATGGGGCTCTGTTGGTGCCAGCTCTGGAGATTAGGTGCTCTTGGATGCCTCCTTAACAATGGAGGCCCAAGTAACAGCCACTGCCAGATCAGCTTTTTACCATCTTCGGCTGGTTAGGCAGTTGGTTCCCTTCCTCAAATGTGACTTGGCAACAGTGATCCATGCGATCGTCACCTCGAGACTGGACTACTGTAACGCTCTCTACATGGGGCTGCCCTTGTCTCAAATTCGGAAGCTGCAGTCAGTGCAGAATGCGGGGGCCAAGCTGTTGATGGGTATCCCCATGCAGGAGAACATCCAGCCGGTACTGAAAGCACTACACTGGCTGCCAATAGCATATCGGATTTGTTTCAAGGTGCTGGTTTTAACCTTTAAAGCCCTATATGGTCATGGTGCGGCATACCTGGGGGACCGCCTTGCCCCACACATTCCCCAGAGAGCACTGCGTTCAGGGGCACAAAATCAGCTAGCCCTCCCAGGCCCCAAGGATGTCAGACTGGTGACAACCAGAGCCAGGGCCTTCTTGGTGGCAGCTCAATCCTGGTGGAATGAACTCCGGGTCAAGATCAGGGCCCTGTGGGACCTCTTACAGTTCTGCAGGGCCTGCAAGATGGAGCTCTTCCACCAGGCATTCAACTAAGGAGCTGCAGTACACACGGGGGAATGTCCCTGCACCCTGACTTTCCAGCCTGTAACCTGCGTCCTATCATCAAGGTTCCCGGCCTGTGCTCGCGGCATAATAAATGAGAATTGTGCTGGTATGAAGGTTCCCGGCCTGTGCTCGCAGCATAATAAATGAGAATTGTGATGGTATGAAAATATTGACATCCAACAGTCACCTTAACTATGTTATAAGAACTGCTTCACTTGTTTGAATACGTTACAGCATTTTATGTATTTGTTTTAAGTGATTGTTATTTTAAATAATTTATAAGCTTATGATAGGTTTTATTGTATTTTACTGTATTTAATTGTATTCTTGAATTGTTATAAGCCGCCCTGAGCCCGCCTCAGCGGGAAGGGTGGGATATAAATCAAATAAATAAATAATGTGGTATTTGGATTTGCTAAATCAAATGTTGTATGTATGCAGAGATTTACTAGAGCTGAAGACTACTGCGAAATGATTTCTAGAACTATTTCTCAAGGAATAAGAGTTACCTTTCTTCCCTAAATGTTTCCTGAACTGAATAAAAACCTCTGCAAGATTGGGGTAAAGGTTTCCCTTGCTCGAAAGCCAGTCGAGTCCGACTCTAGGGTTGCGGTGCTCATCTCCATTTCCAAGCCAAAGAGCCACCGCTGTCCGAAGATGTTTCCATGGTCATGTGGCCAGCATGACTGAATGCCAAGGCGCACGGAACGCTGTTACCTTTCCACCGAAGTGGTACCTATTTATCTACTTGCAATTTCTTGCTTTCGAACTGCTAGGTTGGCAGGAGCTGGAACCAGAGACGGGAGCTCACTCCGTCATGCGGCATTCGAGTCTCGAACTGCTGAACTACCGACCTTCCACAGTCTGCAGTTCAGCATCTTAACCACTTGAGCCACCGCAGCTCCTGTGTCCTCTGCAAGATTAGTCGTCGTCAAATACTGGAAAAGGAATATAATGCCAAATAAAGACCAATGGTTGGAGAAGCTAAAGGAATATGTATAGCTGAGTAAACTAACCTGTATGTTGTGTGGTAAAAAATTAGATGAATTAATTGAAGCTAATAACATTTGTATGATTTGTTTAAGGAACTGAAGATAAATGTATAAAGCTCTGTAACCAACTTTTTTTTTTAACTGAATAAAAATTTTATTTAAGAAAACTACTAAGTCCACGGGGGAGGATACAACTTAGAGGGAAGAAAGGAGGCAAAGCCCACCAGTTAAACAATGGAAAGCTTTATTAACTCTTTTGAGGGCAGGGAGCTTTTATTTGCCAGGAAGGATGATGCCATCATACTGCAACAGAAAAAAAAAGGGATAATCAGAAATAACCAACAGCAAAAGTCTCATCAAAGTAAACAGTTTCTAGATGCTTTCTCACATGTTCGTTGTATCAGCATGTAATCAGCAATCTCCACAGAAGTTAGTGATGGAAAGTACCTTCAAGACACAGCCGACTTATGGTAACCCCACAGGGTTTTTCAAGGCAAGAAACAAACAGAGGTGGTTTGCCATTGGCTGCCTCTGTGTAGCAACCCTGGACTCCTTTGGTGGTCTCCCATCTAAGCACTAACCAGGCCTGACCCAGCTCAGCTTTCAAGTGCTGATTAGATCAGGCTAACCTGGGCCATCCAGGCCAGGGCTCACGAAATTTACCAGCCAGCAAGAACTGTGCTTGCCGTGCAAACCTCTGTCTTTTCTTCCAGGGCACAGTCACTCATAGTCCACTCTTGTAACATCTGTCTGCCCTGAGGCCAGCAAGGCACTTCTTACTCAAAGGTTCCTAAGCAAACAGCTATTTACTAGCTTACTTATTAAGCAAGACTTCTACTTGCCAGCTCATCTCCTGTACCATATGGTGAATCATATGAAGTTACTTGGAATGAGATTTTGCCACGTATTTGAACCACTGCTGGTTCAAAAAGAGTTTAAGGGCCCAGTTTACACAAGTCCCAAACTACTTTGTTGCAGAAGGCAAGCTAAACCATATACACATCTTTTACATCCTGTAAACAACATTAACTGTCTAGGTCAGCAGCTAACCCTCCTAACCTGTCTGAACCCAACAAAACCTCTAAGAGAGCAAATTCAGGGTCTCACAGAAGCAGAAAAGTGCGAGCAGAGTTTTATATGCTTCTGCTCACGTTCAGAGTCCCAATACCAGCTTATTACCCATCCCACCCTTGAGATTCAGAAAGAGGAGACCACACGCAAATGATACTGTAAAGGTGCCCCGAGCTGATCTTTGCCTCCCTGACAACACCCCGTCATCCGTGCCCCTTCTCTGTGGGTTATGCTGAACCGTTTGAGCAGAGGCCTTCAGGCGCTGCTGGTTAACAATGCTGATCAAGCGTCTTTTGCAAACTTGCCCACAGTCCAAACAGCCCCAGACTGTACCTTCTGCTGGAACCAGCGCATGGCTTCCTCCTTGCTGATCCTGTGCTTGGCCCCAATACTGCCGGTTCGGCGCTTCTTGTCAGCGATGCTGAAGCCTGGCCGGCCCAGAACCTGCAGAAATCACATGAGTCTTTAAACCCATACCTCAAACGTTGGGCTCCTTGGGCTACCACTAAGCAGAGGCCTACATTAAGTGCTCCCTACTCTTCACAGCAGCTTATACTGAATTAGGCCCCAGGTCCATCAAGGTCAGTATTGCCTACTCAAACTGGCAGCAGCTCTCCAGGATCTCAGGCAGAGGTGGCTCAAATCCCCAACTACCTGACCCTTTTAACTGGATATGCCGGGGATTGACCCTGAAATCTTCTGCATGCGAAACAGAATGCTCTACTACTGAACCACGGAGCCTCACCCAACCACTGGAGACACTTGTTAGGAAATGAAGCTCTTCACTGGATTATGCAACATTTTTTTAAAAAAAATCACTACCTTAAAACATGTTACAGAATTTTATTCCAGCATAAACTTCCAAAGAACAGAGCTCACTTTTTCAGATCCAATGACTCAATTCTCCCTATGCAATCATTTTATCTAAGAGTATGGAAAAAAACGTACTAAAGGGTCAAAAGGCCCTGAAATGCAAAAAGTACAGCTGAGGTGCAATTATACAAAATTCAAACCTAATAATGAAGAATACAAGATTCAAGTCCAGTAGCCCCTTAAGGACCAACAAGATTTCCAGGGCATGAGCTTCTGAGACTCAAAGTTCCCTTCATCAGACACAAGGAAGGAGCTCTGATTCTCAAAAGCTTATACCCTAGAAATTGTTGGTGCTACTGGACTCGTGTCTTACTCTTCGGGTGCGTTCAGATGGGGGATTTACAACGGTTAGGGTGCCGGTTCCAACCGGTGTACTTACGGGCGTTCACATGGCGAACATCTGCCTCCCGTCCCTAACCGTTGTAAATCCCTTTACACCGTTGCACTCTGCCAC